CCGCATTCACCTCCGCCGGGCTTCTGAGCACCGGCGGCCGGTGTTTACCAGAGGAGGCGGTGCCGCGCACTGGGCTCCTGGAACATTCTTTCGACTGCTTCCTGGACTTTGGAAGGTCGGGTGGTCAGCCGGCCCGGGTCCGCTTGGGCCGGGAGCGGCCGAGGTGCGGTCCGGGGAGCCGGCCTCGGAAACCGCCCGTTTCCAGGGCCGGGCTGGGCGGGGGGCGCGCGTGTGCCCCGCCGGGCGGGCGCCTGGGCGGACTGGAAGTAACTTACTGACGCCGGCTTCGGTGTCAGTAGTCGGGAGCGGTTAACTGGGGTTCCTCTGGCCCCTTCCTGGCCGAATTTCCCCCAGTCGGTGGTTAAAATCACTTTCTAGCACAGTTGCTTAGGAAGGTGTTTCTGGTTTCCTCTCCCCATTTTTCCCCCTCCTGTTTCTGGTTAGAGCTGATTTCGTGTTACATAAAGCTGTGTAGCCGGTAGGAGTGCGGTCACCCAAACCATCCTATATTGAAAAATAGCCGTGGAAATGGTTGGGTGAAAGTTTCACATCACTGCTTGGGGTGGGCCTACGCTTTCTGCAGTTTGCTTTCCTTGAGCTCAAATCCCTCTGCCCCGGGCCCCGGAGTTTTTCTGTTTTTCTCAACTTTTTCGAATGCTAATCAGCTTTCCAAATTTGTATTTGTGAGTGAACATTTCTGTCTACCGTCCGCAGAGCAGCCTATTTTCATTTCCCCCCAGGCCCAAATGCCAGCCATTTATTTTCCAAACGCCCTGGTTTTCAAGTCGGTGGCTTAACACCTTTTTATAAAAACAAATTGGCCTAACTGGGGCAGAGCTTTGCATGGTGTTGCCGGCATTGTCATTCAAACTTCTTGTGAAGCTCCCCTGGTCGTGGTCTGTTTCCCTTCTTCCCATTGCTTGGTTTTAGAAGTTTAGGAGATTCCAGCATTGCATTGAGGAGATGTTCACACACACATGTCCCAGTTTACCATTAGTAGGTAGACAGCCTGTCCTTTTGTGAATGTTCTGAGTCTCCTCTCTTGCTTCCTTTGTCGCCTAAACTCCTTAGCACCTCCAGAAAGCAGAGCAGACAGGTAAAGGTGGATTCAGCCCGTATTTCTGTCTTTGTTAGCTTGGGCAAGAGTTTGGTATTTGGTAAGGCAGGAGGTAGAAGTGAATGGAATAAGGGAAATCTGGCGCTCGCTTGGAGTTGGATTATCCAGATCTCAGTCCAAAGGTGGCGTTGGATTTCAGTATTGCAGGTGGTAGATAACTGGTGAGCCCCATTGCTGAGATGCCTCTCTGAGGTGGGATTCCTCTTTTCAGTGCAAAGAAGCAAGAGCTAGTTACACTAAGAACTCATTCTTTGACATCAGAGAACACATTTTTTGGGTCTTAAGTAAATACTCCCTCCAAATTTGGGACTGATCTTTAGTGTACTGAATTTAGAAAACTTAATGGTGTGAATTTTGGGGGGGGGGGTGGATAGTGGACAGAGTGTAGTCCACTACACACTTTTGTGGCCAGAGGCAAAGTGTGTTTGGGGAGGAAGAGAAATACCATCAGCCACAGGCTGCCCTTTAGAGGTGTGTACAGAGGATTTCTTTCTTTCTTTCTTTTTGGTCAGCAATTTCTCCAGTAATATCAAAGTAAATATCTCTAAGAAGGAGAGTTACCCCTCTTTGAGGGGTAGAGAGAGACTTAGTCTTTTGTTCCAAATTACCTCTTTTAGACAGGCCCTTCCCTTTTACACTCTGGACTTGGGCCTGCAGGAGGCTTGACCTGAATCAGCTCCATGGCCATGGAGCTAAAAATAGGACGCTCTTAGAGGACTTGCTAAAGCAGTGTCTCAACCTTCCCCAGTATTTATCACTATCTTGTCCCAAGTCAGGATTGGAAAGCTGCCTATTTCTAATTTGTTTTCATCGATACAGTAATTTACAAAGATAGGAGTTGAATTCTTCCTGAGTACCCTTGAATATGCATGGTGATACACTTTAAAAAAGGTGTCCTTCACCTTGCTATTCTCACTGTGCTTGACTTTGTCAGGATCACTACTCCACACTTTACGGAGTTGCTGAGAATTTTCTTCTGAGTAATAGTAGGTTCAGGTTTTCTGTGCTAAAGTCTTTGTTGAGAGGAAAAAACACGAGAGAGATGCTTGTGATAGTTTTTGATGGAAAATAAGCTTTGTGCATATCTGCCACCTGTTGCTAGGTAAGTGACTTGAGATTAACTTCGCTTTGCTAACAGACTTAAGATGACACTGTGGATTACTCAAACTAAGAAAGAATACCTGATCTTCCATAACTGTGTCCAGTGTAGCTTGTGTGAGAGAAGTGTTGCAAAATGCATTTGTTGAATTGGCAAAAAACACGTGTGATGGTTATTTCTATATATGGCCATTCTTTCCAGTGCTGGAGGGTGGAATATGTAAGGGTGCTCCTGAGCGGGGAAAGTCTGGGCAGACGCCTCCTGGGCGCCATGTCTTCATTTAGCCTGAAATCAGCTAGTCCACTGAAAGCGCCACATTGACCTCAGCCTGCTCGGCTTTGGCACGTGGGGATGCACTTGCTGGCCGCCTTGTGCCTGGTTCTGTGGTGCTGAGTGAGTCCTGGCTGTTAGCCAGAGAGACCAGTAAAGGGGCAGTTGGAGCCTCCCTTTTCCTGAGTTCACACTGAACAAAGGGAGACTCACTCAATTGGAACGATGACTTATATTTTCTCAGGTTTTTAAAAACTGAGGTGGAATGGAAACATGACATAGCAGTAGTAGTGTCAGGTGGCCCCCAGTCTGGTTGACATCCACGGCCATATGTAGTGAGGGGAACTGGTGATGAGAACATTTGTTCTCATAGGAGCTGTATGTAGCTTTTCAAATTGCATAGTATAAACTCTCAAGGGTCTCCATAGTAGTGTGAGATGTGGTTATTTCACATGTGTCAGGTTCTCCACTCTTCCCCCATCAGGATACCAGGAACAACCTCGGTTGAGGTACCTAGTTATAGAAAATAATCTTAATCTCGTTAAACAATGCAGTTGAAGCTTTGGAGGCTAGCCAAAGGGCATTTGATAATACTAGCTTTCTTCCGTGCAAGCCAAAGCTTTAGAATCTTAGCAAGAGGCAAATGCCAGCAGGTTATCTTTTTGTTTAAATAGTTGTTTAACAACAGAAGAAGTTGAGAGGGCCTGGGCAGTATCAGTGAGTGTTGCTTTAGATTATTTCAGCTGCAGTGCCTTACATTTTCTGAAATATATACTGGTCTTACACTTCTACAGAAGGCTGCTAGTTCACAGTTCAGGGCAGAAGGAAATCTTTTGGAGGCTTAGAGCCTCCAAGGTGGTTCCATTTGTTCTCTTTCCCAGCAAGCATAGGCCAGTGGAGCAAAGCTAACGGGGTTCTGTCACCAGGCTTTGTGAAGAGCGAAGTACCATAGAAGACTGGGGGTGGGGAGCGGCTTGCATTTAGATTCCCTCAGATTTGTGATTGCAGTGGCCTAAAGAATGTAAATTCTTTATTGAGCTCCCACATTGGGTTGAAGAAAAATGTTAAGTGTTTATTCCTGTCATGCCACTCCTGTGGTTAGAGGAAGAGGTGGGGATGTGGAACTCTCCAGACATGATAAAAAGGGAAGTGGAGGGCGACTGATGTCTGTTAGCTGGGAGGTTATTTTGTGGGTGAAAGGTGGTAGGTCACGATGGAGATCCTCCTAACAGAATGCTTCATAGCGTGTTGCTTTTTCTTTTTCAGGTGCTGCACTCTCAGTCCCGCCATGTCGAGGTCAGGATGGCCTGTATTCACTACCTTCGTGAGAACAGAGAGAAATTTGAAGCGGTAATTTGTAATTTCAAATATGTAGCACTGTCTTGACTAGGATTTACATTTTAGCTTTTAAAAGTGGCCTAATGGGCGTTTCACAGGCTGGGTCCTAATGCAAGTTACGGCGCAGGAGTGGGGGGCTTTATGAAAAGCTGCTTTACTGAATTTCAATCTAGTTCTATTTAGTGGCAATATTTTTCACACCACGTAGATATGGTGGTCCTTTTTTCAGACCTCGGGATCTCTGCTGAGGCAGAAAGGGTTGGGTGGTGTTGCTGGGTGGGCTGTTTGTGTGGTCAGAAAGAGCTTTGTCTGGTGAGGCCAGGGCACTGGTGTTGCGGCTGCAGAGTTTTCTGTGATTGGTAACCGCCTTTGAGTTTTTAAGAATTTCAGGTTTAGGGTATAAAAAAGAAGCATAGCAAGGCTAAAACAGAGGCTTAAATTTTATCAGAAGGAATTTATAGATCTTCACTGCTCAGGAGTATTGTGGACCCTGTATCAGAGAGCTGTAATTATGTAATCATGATTAATAGTTGATAGGGTGTTGTCAAGCAGCTCACTGCTTGTCTTGGTAATAGGTAGTCTGTGGAATAAGTTGCTACTGTGACCTATTTTCCTTTTACGTTGACAGCCCCGAAAGATTTACTAGTATTGGTTCTATGACCTAGAATGTGATACGACCACTTCCAGTGCTATTTCCCTCACGAACTGGTGAGAGGACATTGCAGCCTGGCAGACAGCTCAATTCTAACAATAGGTAGTTTTTAGTTTGACTGTGCTCTTGGGTTGCTGGTCCTACATTCAAGTAAAATGTTACTGTAATAATACGACATTTTTCTGACTACCGTGTTTCAGACAGTTAACCTGCTTTATCAGGAATTTCAAAACCTCCTCTTACTTAAAAAAGGTTACTGGGAAACATGATAAGAGTTTGAGGGGGTGGTGGAGAAGGGGAAGAGGGTGGTCTTTAAATATTGAAGACATTACAAGTGAATGAATCATTGTTACTGGCCCCAGAGGGTAAATCACTGTTGACAGTAATGGAAATTACTAACCTTGGGTGAGAGCTAACTGTGCCAGACACTGTTTAAAGTAGTTTATTTTGCCCTTGTAATCTTAAGAGGTAAGATCAGAGGTGCAGAGTCCTGAGGGGAAGGCTCACTTTTCTTATCACAGTACCTTCAGTCTCCTGGCCAGAATCGGGGCTGACCGGAAAAGGGTTTGCCTCCTCCTGACAGTGCTTTGTCAGCGCCTAGACCTAAGCTCGGGATTACCAGGACGATCTCACGTGGGTTGCAGCTGAGTCAAAGTGCTCCCGAGGTCTTTGCCAACCTAGTTGATTCTGTGGGCTGTCTTGAGTCTATAAATAATCGCTTAATGCACAACAGTGACCCGATTGGTGGGGTATTTAGAATACGTGATTAATTTATTAAATGTGTATTGAAGCTTAAGATGCTTTTTGAAAATTTTGTAGTCTACAGTGTGTACAAGAACCTCAACCTGAAAACCCACGGGCATAAAAGAGGTTTATAGACTGGCCGTGTACCTCTGAATGCCTTCATGTACCACTTTGCTAAATTAACTAGTACTAATTTAAATAAAATTGAATTTGGTGCTTCAGATGAACACCTTTAGAGCTTTCTGAACTACATAATCTTGATGAGAAAAAGGTTAGCATGTAGCTTGAATTAATTCTTTTTTTAATGTTTAAGTCACAGTGAAGTGGGCTGTTTTAGCAAAATCTTGATTCTTCAAAATATTGTCAGCATTACTTTCATCTGTTTCGATATAACTGATGAGGCAGTGAATTTGCATCGCTGCATTATTAAACTGATCTTCCTTAGCTAGAGTGTACCTGGCTTTTAGTTCTTCAAGACTGCCTCTACCATGTAATTTCTGTGGTGCACGGTGTCACCTGCCGTGGCCTTGACCTGCCTTCTCCCTCAGACTGAAAGTCCTGCCTGGGCTCCCGGCCGCTGCCCAGTGCCCTGGGCGCCCTCACTCCGCTGCCCTGCAGCCTCCCCGTGCCCCACCGCACGCCTCATTGCTGCTGCCCACCTGCGTCCTGACCCCCGAGGCCCCCGTCACTGTGGTCCTTTGAGACTCTCACGTGTGGTTGTGGTCATCACAAACACATCCTCGTGGTTACTTACACACGCTCTGCATTTCTTCTGTTTCTGAGGTAGCCATGTTCCGTGTAAGGCCTCAGTTCAGAGGGAATGATTTATAGTAAAGTTAACTTCCTTGGATGTGTTCCTCACAGACTGTCCTTTTTTTGCAGTTTATAGAAGGGTCATTTGAAGAGTACTTAAAACGTTTGGAAAATCCACAGGTATGTAGTTATCTTGTAATGTTTCTCTTTAATACAGTCATACTCTTTTCAGTTTGTTAAAATGGGAGCTTAATGGAAAAGTGTCTGGAGGGGCTTGTAGAGTGTGCTCTGGGCTTACACACACGTCTGGCGGGGGCTGCACACTCTGCATCTCTGGCCGGAAGGCCTTAGGAGTTGTGTTCTGTGGCCCGAGGTTGCCTCACAAAGGACAGGGTGCGTACTCTTTATCTTGGTGGTCGCGGCATGTGAATATAGCATCAGAGGCCTAAAGTAATACCATGATGACTCCGAGGCTGCGTGTCAAGGGTGTTGCTTCTGCAGGCAGCTGAGAAGGCGGACTCATTGGTGGAGGCCCCATTTCTGTGATCACCTTGAGGAGAAGGAAGCTACTAGAGAAGGACACCTCTCCCCTCCCCCCCCCCCCAGGTCCACGGTACACTTGCTCAGTCATGTTGAAGTGGATAGGATTTTCTTACTGTGTTCTGTTCTTGTCAAAATCACGTCGTGGAATGTTCAGTTGTTCGGCTGCCCCAGAAGAGTCAGCACTGTGGCTAAGTGACATTAGTGGCGGCAGCAGCCAAGAGGGGTGGCGAGCGGAGCAAGAGGAAAGGCAGGTACCTGTTATCTTCACTTAACTCCCTCCTCAAACGCGTGCTTGATGTGGCCCAGGGTGGCCAGGCACCCAGAGTGCAGAGAAGGCTGGGACTTGGGTGCCCTTCTCAAGAGTTTCCTTTTAGTAGAGAAGAACATGTAACATGAATAAGAAAATAACTCATGGCATAAGAAGCATAAGAAGCGTAGCTCTGATAGTGAGGCAGTCAAAGTTTCTAGCTGGGTAGGCAGAGCAAGAATTGGAGACTGGGATTTTGAAGTCCGAGTAGATTCTGCATGAGAAATGCCTGGAGGAAAGGGCATTCCAGGCAGTAAAAATTAATGTGCCAGGCAGATTCAGAAAGTAATTTGGTGTAAGTGGGGGAGAGAGACACGAAGCCCCATTTGCGGGAATCAGTGAGAGGACAGGCTGTGGGCACATCTGTGCTCCAAGCCGAGCTGCAGACTCTGCCTCAGAATCAGGTGTGCTCGCGGGAATGCGCATTCCTGGCTCTCACTGCAGACCTGAGTTGGGGTTTCTGGGCCTGGGGTCCTGGAAAAACATTACAAATATTTTGAGGTAGGTCGTGAGTCTGTTCAGCTTCTGTGAACTGACACTGCTGCCTGGTATTTGTGTTGCCTGTCTGGATGGATGAAGGAGTAGTGTCTAGAGACGGCGTGGAGGGGGGCTGTTACACTTAATCTGTGTTGAGTGTAAAAAGAAGTAAGAGTGGGACCCTCCGATTTTAAGAGTCAAATGGCCCTGGGAAGCCTTTTCTTTCAGTTCCTTCTGACCTTGGTTTTGGGTGATGGGCGCCATGGCCTGTGCCGCTCCCTGAAGTTTACAGTGTTCCTCAATTTCTGAGCCTCTTTGAAGGCTTTGGCTGTGCACTTGCTGTTTCTGGAGTTCTGTGTTACCTTTCGCTTTGTGGTGCCTGATGCGTGGTCAGTTTTTGTGGGAATGTTAAGTCCACACTGCATTGTGTGTAACAGGAAGGCAGGTGAAGACAGGGTGCTGGGAATTGTTACCTTCCCCAGGCAGCTGTATTACCAGTGCCTTTGATTTCCTTTTGAAGTCAAAGACCATTAACATTTTTTAGTCAGGTAAGCTCCCCCTCTCCCCCCCCCCCGCCCCCCTGGTTTATTTTATTTTATAATAATTCTGGTGCAGTGGCTCAGGCTGTTGAGCCAGTTGATGGGCAGCGCCACCTGGGTGGAGATGGGCTTGGTCTGGCGGATGGCTGGTGCCTCCCCCCCGAGGTGCTGGCCAGCCAGCTTCCTCACACCCCAGGCTGAGCACATCTCCTTTCTAGATGTTGTTGGGACCTGCAGAATAGTTGTTTCTTCATTACTAGCAACAAATACTTAACTTCATTGCTTCACTCAGTTTTCAGAGAAAGCATTGTCGTCGTTTTACTGAACATGCTTGTGAAGCATTTACAGACATGTTTGTGTATTTTGTAAGAATATGTTTCTGTCAACTTTGTGGAGATAAAATCAGCGATAAACTTTACTGTATGTCATAATATAGTGCATAATTTGATGAACTTGACGAGTATAAAAAGTTGTGTAACTATCAACATTACAGAGGACATTTCTGTTTCTTTCACTCCAGAAAGTTCGTCATGCTCTTCGCATTTAACTACCCGCCCCAACTCCCGGGCTTTGGCTGTCATAGACTTTGAGAGAGGGCCATAGGTAAACCTGAATGTGACCTTTATTGGTGGCAAGTTGTTCATAGGTTTTGCCCATTTTCATTAAGTATTTGTTTTCATTGAATTATAAGAATTCCTTATAATGAGTAAAAAGTCCGTGTGTGATACATATTTTATAAATATTTTCTTCTAATTTGTGGCTTGATTTTTTTTCTTAGTGGGTTTTGAAGGGCAGTTTACTTTTGAATACCATCTAAGAACATTTAAGATTATACATTTTGATCAGTATACTCCATTATGTATGTGTCGTTAATTAAAATGAATTTTGTAAAGATTTTTTTTAAAAGATTTATTTATTTGTGCATACAGAACTGGGGTACAGGGCAGAGGTGCAGGGGCAGTGAGAGGATTCACCAGCGACAGAGTGGGGAGCGGAACAGTGATGAAGGGGAACAGAAGGTGGGTCAGAGAGGTCTGCCGCGCCATGTGGGTCACCTCCAGGGCAGGGATTGAACTCATGCAGAAGAGGTTGCAGCCAGCTTGCAGTGCTGTGTCCTAACCCGTTGTGCCACCAGGGAGGGCCTGTAAAGATATTTTACTCTTTCTCACGATAAGGACATACACCAAAGATCATAAAAAAGTGCTGTGTAAATGAAAATACACATAGCTTTAACGTGGAAGACCAGGGCAGAACAGTGATTTTTTTTAATAATATGAAACGGACCCTGGCGAGAGGATAACGTTCTATAAAAACCTCTGTTGAATTTACCAGTCTGCCACAGGATTTATTCTGAAGAAAAATGGCATGTTATTTGAGAAGTAGGACGTTGTTGACACTAGCAGGTGGTTTTTACTCTTCTGAAGTGATACGCCACCTTTCGCTTGAGCTTCGTTGGGCCTGGGATCCAGGCAGCTGGTATGGAGAAGGTTTCCCTCCTCTGGGGTGTCACGTGCGTCGTTCATGAGAAGCCACCGTTGTTAGGCAGAGGCCTATTTTAAGAAATCTATTTTGATATATAGAGCTCAGTTCATTTTGAAAACCAGGCCCAACTTTTAAGAACTTTTAAAATGGAAACTCTGGAGGAACAAGTTATCCTTGTCTGATCTAACAGTTTCCTTGGGTCCCTCATGGCACATTCCTTTCGAGGAAAAAGTAACAACAGTCTTCCAGCTTTGCTTGTTCCTTTTGGTGACTGTTGGCCTTAAGTCTTACTCAGTCTCAGGTGGGTGCAGGATTACGTGTTGAAGACATAATACAGAACGAGAGAGGGACCTTTAATTTCCCGCAGGGGGATGTCCTTGTCTCCACTGTCAGTTGGGACGGAGCCTCTGTCTGGTCCCCGTCCCACGTGCACGTGGAATACACCTTTTTGCTTCATACAAATAGGATTATTTTACCTGGTGATTTAATGGCTTGATTGTACCTTCACGGTCTGAGTGCTCCTTCAGTCACCTCTTAGGGTCGTCCTCGTTCTCCTCAGCGATGGCGCGGTGTCCATCCTGAGAGTGGGCTGGCGGTGATTTCATTATTTCTTTATGAGAATCCTAGGGCTTTCTTTAAACATTTTAATTACTTTCAAATGGCTACAGTGAACAGCCTTGCTTATCCTTTTGTGTGCATACAAAATAGTTCTTGAGATGGTTACAGAAGTTAAATAGCACAGAGGTAGAGAATCTGTGGAGGTTGGAAGTTGGGCACCTCCTGGTTGGTCTTTAGGCTTCCAGACTCCGTTTAAGTCTGTAGCCTTCCACCTCAGCGCAGGGCAGCGGCTGGCGCGTTTCTGAGGGTGGGAACTCTTTTGCCTTTTTCCTTCCTTTCGGGTATCTGAGTTGTGTGCTTCTGCACAACATGGCATTTCTGGACTCCCACTGTGCGCCAGGCTCTGATTGGGTGCTAAAGTGGAGGCCGCAGTCCTTACCCTTCCGGGTTCTCGGCTTGGAGCGGGCGATGCCATGCTCCTGGAACTGTCCTACGCTGAGGCGTTTGCCGCAGAGACTGGCTGCGTTTTAGTATGTGAGAGCCTGTTCCGTGTACATGTTCTGTGAACTCATGAAGCACATGTACAGCATGTTCACAGTACTGAAAAGAGGTGTCCTGGAGGAAGAATCAGACACTTAACATGCCTACTTTTTCTTTTCAATACAGGAATGGGTTGGACAAGTGGAAATAAGTGCCCTTTCTCTTATGTACAGGTAAATACTGTGGTGATATAAGTGAATCCAAAAAAAGGGGGAATTTCTCTATTAAAATTGTTAAAATAGCAAAGTAATTTTATAACTTGATTGTAAAGCATCTTTTCTGTTGATTTCTATTAATGACATCAATTAAGTTTTGACATTTTATTTAAGTCAGCATTTCAGGTAGGAATAAGAAATTTGTTCTTCGATTAATTTTCGAGAAAATTAATTCCAGGCTTACGTTGTATCCTGAAAACCTCAGGGGGCACTTCTCAGACTGGTGGCCTTGAATGACCACTGGCTCAGAGGCCACAGTCCATAGACTTGCTCTGTCTGCTACTTGTATGCAATAGAGGAGCAGACAGATAGATGCTTTTTTAATTTTGGAATTTCTGTATAAATTCCACCTAAACAGATTTTTGTGGTTTTGAGTTCTCCTTTTAGAGTGGTTTCAAGTTATTTGTAAGCAAATTAAAAGTCTTTTTAAATAGTACTTTTATGCAGGTATTTGACATCTAGTTATTTCAGTGTTGGGTTTTGTTTCCTGCTGTAACTCCAGTACCTAGAATATTGCCTGGCATGTGAGGTTCTGGGCTGTAGGAGTGAATGAACAAATGAATGATTAAATCTTAATTCATAAAATAACATTCCATCAAGAGTAATTTCAAAATATTGTTTTCAGGAAAGATTTTGTAATTTATCAGGAACCAAATGTTTCTCCTTCACAAGTAACTGAAAATAATTTTCCTGAAAAGGTAAGCAATTTTCTAAGTACTTTGAGAGGGTTTAAGTAAACGAGCCATTTATTTGCCATCCTTAAGCTATGGTTTTTTGAGTGACTTGGAATATTTGTGTGATGGTTATGATGAGTTTTTTAAAGTTAGTCCTTGAGTCGTTATTTTGTATTTGTTTTTGTGTGGAACCTTACAGCCTTCACTAGAGGGGAAGGTAGAGCATAAGTCAGTGTATACGAACTGGCAGCCTCTAGTTTTGTGTCAGGATGAACATAGTAGTAAAAATGTTTCCGTCATTTCATCTAGAAATAGCTTGGTAATTATATTTCCCACTATAAAGATGATTTACTGGCCGAGTACATTTTCTAGTCACAGAACAGAAAATAAAAAGTGAAACCTAAAAGAACAGAAAACTCGGCTGTTTGATTGTAAGAGAACTTTGTAATAATTTGCTGTTTTGGGCTGAAGTGCCTGGCGCCAGCATGCTTCCTTCCAGTAGTGTGAGGGGCTGGAGGGGAGGGAAACACACCCCTAATAGTGAGGCCCTGGTGGTGCCCCCTAATAATAAGCCCCCTAATAATGAGGCCCTGGTGGTGCCGAGGGTGCTTGGCTTTGGTATTTTTTAACTACAAAGTTTGGATTGTATAATCTAGATAGAATTAGGGAATATTTCTTTTCTCCTGAATGGTTGACTGTTTAAGGAATAATTAAGTCTGCAGGTCAGAAAAAATTTACTTTTGATTATGCTGCCTTTTAGAGATAAGTGCTAATAAAGTTTTAGAATATTTTCTTACAGATGCTAGCTCTAGTTCTTTCAGTTGTTGAAATCATACTGCTTCATACAGTTTTTGTTTTTGTGATCTTGTGTCTTTCGCCAAGTCATTGAGAACTTTCTGACTTAATGACTTGGTGACATTTCAGCATGTGGTTGTACCTTAATTGGCCACTTTGGAACTTTTTAGGTTGCATTTAAAATACTTCTTTCTACTGGGAAAGTATATACAAATAATTTAGAGCTATTGGAGGTCAAGTTGCTATGTAAATGTCATATAAGGGGCTGATAGGAGCTTTTATTTTTCCCTTTCAGGTATTACTGTGTTTTTCAAATGGAAATCATTATGATATTGTCTATCCCATAAAGTATAAAGAGAGCTCTGCTATGTGTCAGTGTAAGTATCTGCTTTGTGTCTGTAATGTAATAGATTATGCTTCTAGGCTTCGCAACCTTAATGTAAACAAGTCTGGACAGATAATTCTGTCTGTTGCATATAAAAGAATTTCTAGGAACCTCAGGTTACCAGAAATCTTGTCACTATAACAAAGAACTGTTTCAGTTTAGAGGAAAAAGGCACTAGTAAGGTTGAGTTAGATTTTTAAAATGCCATTTATTTCTTTACTTAGTAACTCAGCTCAGTGACAGGGACGTGTGTTTGAAGCTGTTGCTGTGTCTTGCACGTGTGGTGCGAATCAAGCGCATGCTCTGCTGCCTTCCCAACCTTCCACGCAGGCTGTCTCTTTTTTTTTTCCTAGAGATTTATTTATTTATGCATACAAGAACTGGTGTACAAGCTAGAGGTATGGGGGCGGGGGTTGTGTATGAGAGGATTCACCAGCGACAGAGTGGGGGCCAGAACCACTGAAATGCACTGCTGAGGGGAGCAGCGGGAGCCAGGAGGGGTCCGCTGCTCTGCGAGGGTCACTCCGGGCTCTGGGGATCAGACTCGCGCCGCTGTGGCTGCGAGTGCTGAGACAACCCCTTGCACTACCAGATGGCCCCTCGAGCAGGCACCCTTAACCTGGTGGCTGTGGGGGGCGGCGGGGGCCCCAGTGGGAGCTCCAGTGGGAGCTTCGGAAGAGGGGCGAGGCTTGCCTTGGCTCTAACCGCAGGCGGGCGGCAGTAGTTCCTCGCTCGCCCCACTGTCATCGCCGGATATGTCTGCAGGGCTTGCCAAATATTTCATGGCAGGATAAAATCTCCTAGGATTATACAGCTAATTGAGAATTACTGCTCTAGTAGTTCCTTCCCATTTTTATCTCCATCATCTATTTTGACCACATAGCTGTCACTCATACAAATTATCAGTGTCTATAAAAGACATTTCCTGTTCCTAAACTTAAACTGTGGCAACCAGTCAAGGTAACCTATAATACAAATTAAAACAGAAACTGTTCTGTTTTGAGGTACGGAAACTTGGCAGTCTGTCTCCTGGGCTGTGCCCCTCTCTTTGCCATTGGTGTCAGGATGTTGGGCTTCGGGGGCTTCGGGGCCGGCCTGTGGAACCTGCCTGCCTGTGGGCTCAGTGCCTGCAGTCCGGAAGAAATATGGGTGTGAGAGAGAGACCCTGTGAGGCCGTTGTCTGGGGACTCATTGGTGGGTGCGTACGCGCAGTGAATGGTGCTCTTATTGCAAAAAAGAAAACAAAAAAAAGCCCTATGTGTAGGATGCTTTTGTAAGTTCTTTACAGCCCTACAAGGAAAGCTAACCTCTTTTCGTGCTATTTCAAGGTTTAGGGTTTTCTGAAAGTCTTCATAAGGTTGGGCAAGTACCTGCCTGAGTCACGTTCCTCACCTGTGCAGCCAGGCGCGGGACTCCCTGCTGGGCAGGGACAGGTGGCGGCACAGCTGCCGGGCGCTGTGCTGTGGCTAGTTAGCCTTCCTTCTCCTCACACTTGTTTTGCAGCTGGGATGCCTTTTTGTGCTGTCAGAAAGGCATCTCTTATTTCAGGCGTACACGTAAATTATAGTTTCTCTTTGCAGTGCTCTGACCAAATTATTGACCAAGAGATGTTTGTAGGTGTTCAGCTAGGATTTGGGAAGCATTGGGGTACAGTCTCACTCTGATCTTGCCTGTTTTAGAAAGTGACTGTAGTCAGTTTTGCCTGACATCTCTTCTGTTAATTGCAGCTCTCCTCTATGAATTGCTGTATGAAAAGGTGTTTAAAACTGATGTTAGTAAAATCTTGATGGGACTGGACTCATCTGAAGTAGCTGATGAAAACAGCAGTGAAATATCAGACTCAGAAGATGACAGTTGCAAGTAAGAACTTAAGTCCTAAGGTGCCTTTCTAATGCCATACAAAGAAGCACTAACCATCCTGCATGAAGCTGGCTCACGTACTGGGGGTGATGATGGTACCCCTAAAGTGCAGCCATCCACACGGGCGGTTTCCTCACCTCCACCACTGAATTTTACCTAGTTTTTCCTTGAAACTGGAATTTCTTCTTGAAAATTAATGTTTTTGGTTGATGAGGAATTTATTTCTCTGCAATATATATGTATTTCGGTAGGATCGATTTGGGTCTGCTTTTTCTTTCTTTCTTTTATTTTTTTAAAGATTTATCTATACACGCAGAACTGGGGTACAGGCCAGAGGTGCAGGGGTGGTGAGAGGATTCACCAGAGACAGGCTGATGGAGTACTCTGCTGAAGCCCACTGCTGAGGGGAGCGGCGGGCGGGGCAGGAGAGGTCTGCTGCGCCCTGTGGCCATGCCCCGTCGAGGACTGAACTCATGCTGAAGCCGCTGTGGCTGGGCTCACAGTGCTGCATTCCCACCCATGGCACCACCAGGGAGGCCCTAAAGCCTGAGGATATTACTTAATTCTTTATTAAGTACCTAATAAGGTATCTGTTGAATCAGAATGTTCTGATCCTGTGGAACACTTGCTTCGCTGCCGTTTCTTGTTAAAGAACTAGGGAAGAGATGAGTCAGGTCGGACCCTGGGTTTGCTGTCGGACACAGTGACTGCTCTCAGAATAGCCTGAGCTGGCGCAGACAGGCTCCTGCTCTCTGTGCCTGTCTGTGAAGCGGGCCCGACGAACTTGTTAGGACATAGCGCCTGGGCGGGTGCAGAGGCCGTGGGCACCCACCACGCGCACTTGTGCGGCCACTGCTGCTGGTGTCAGCAGCAGGTTGCGTCTGGGGTGGCACTGGCAGGGCTGGCGGGCGGGAGCTGCCCAGGGCGGGCTCGCTGCTGGCCGGTGCTGCCTCTCTGCTGCACTGTTGTATGTCTGTGGCCCCTGCTGGAGGAACCTTTTAAACTGACTTCATTGTATAGTCAAGCTTTCTTTTCATCTGTGTTACGTATTAGCCCATGAAAGACAAGATTTCAGTCAGGGGGAGACTGCGTAACTCCAGCAGGGGAGACAGGCCTGTGGTGGTGAGGAGGAGGAAAGGCTCCCTGCAGTATTGGGGCGATTGGGTGCATTTGGTGCCAGGACTTTATGTTTGCTGCAGTTCAAGGGGTGGACAGCGATTGTCCCGAGCGGATCTGTTTCCTAAGGAGGGTTCTGGGGCAGCGAGGGGCCGCCCAACCTCAGTTCCCTGTCAGCACTGAGCCCAGCCAGCGGCCACCCTGCTCTCCGCACGGGATGTTCCCTCGGCCTGGAACCCTTAGTTGCCATGTGGTTTGCTGTCTTGCCGTCTTTCATTTTTTATTCAAGAAGACCTCTCAGCAGGGTCTTGCCTCATGCAGCTTTTTATTATCTCCCCCATTTTTCTCCCCACCATGCTTACCAACACTTAACATACCAGTCACTTGGTTCGCTCTGCTCTCACTGATCATGCATTTTGATTTTGATGCAGTCTTATTTGACAGCTGAGCCAGTAAGAATCCAGTTAAACCTTAGACTTACCCTATATGTACACACAAACACAGCGTGCACTCGACACTTGCACATTAAAACTGTGTGGAATGTGGTTTTGACTTTTTGGAATATAACCGACTTGAGATTTTATGTGAGGTTAGAATATATTAACTGCATGCCAAACAGTTTTTGTGTTCCTAATTATATTTCTTCCGTTGTAGGAGTAAAATCACCACTGCTAATGATGTGAATGGACTTAAATCTTTGTCAAGTGATCAGGTAATATTTTAAAAGTAGATTTTGCTAGCTCTTTCAATATAAGGAAGTGTGTGAATTTAAGTCTTGTTTTTTTTTTCTTTTTCTGGTACTTTTTTTCCACAATAAATTTTCAGTGGAGTCAAGGTCATTTCATGAATTTGTTGAAGTTTTATTCATTTTCTTTCTTTAAAGATTTACTCATTTATGCATACAGAACTGGGGTGGGGTACAGGCCAGAGGTGCGAGTGTGGGGGGCAGAGGCTTCACCAGAGACAGAGTGGGGAGCAGAACAGGCAGTTCGAGGAAGCACACTGCTGAGGGGAGCAGCGGGCGGGTCAGGAGAGGTCTGCTAAACCATGTGGGTCACCTCTGGGGCGGGCATCGTTGAAGTGGCTGTGGGGAGCTTTGCTTTAACCTGTTGCACCACCAGCGAGGGCCCCTGATTTTCTTTTATATGTATCTCATGTCAAAAATTAAGACGCTTTTGTGTCTTAGCACTGATCATGCTGGCTTTGTTTCCTGGCTTTGCTTAGCAGCTGAACGGCAACGGGAACGCTCCTGGCCTGCCTTTACCTAGGAAGGTCCTAAAGTCCCTCAGTCCAGCAGTGTACAGAAATGTGGAGTATGAGCTCTGGCTGAAGTCTAAACAAGGTGAGTCGAAGACCCGTGTCCCCCACTTGGCTTTGTGGCGCTCGAGGATGCTGCGCTCACCTGCTCGTTTGCTCACTGTTCGCAGCCCAGCAGAAGCGAGACCGCTCCGTCGCTGCCGGCTTGCAGTACGAGGACAAGGGCCACGTGAGTGATTTGTGCGGGACGGACGGTTTGACTGGAACTTTGCTTCCACTAAAAGCCAACAGTACTCAGCTCAGATGTCAGCATTGTTAATTTAAGATTTCAGAATACACTTTATTCTGTGTACAGCTCAGAGTTACAGATGTTTCGCTTTTTGACCCACTTGGAGTAACATGCGTCTAAAAGCTGGGGCCTGACCTTTAACTAACTTGTCCGTCTTTGAACTGCCTGCGTCTCGAAGCAGCCACATTTTAGATCCGATATTTTCATGCTGGTTGGCGAATGATTTACTTAGATTGACACTAACATGTTAGGTAAGTTTAAGCCACCCATAGTAGTATTCTTTCCCTTGGAGGAAGGGAGAGTGGAGCCTACAGAGGGTTTTGCTCTCACGTGGAGCGAGCACCTGTCTGGCACGGCAGCTGCCTTTGCGCCAGGGGAGCGGGTTCCCTCGCCGTTACTGAACTCGGGCTGGAATTCTGCCCTCAGCCCGGGCCTCAGTAGCAGTGTCTGTGGCAGTTCCCTGCTGTCACAGCGGACCTGGAGCTCACTGCCGTGGGTGGGGCTGCTGCCAGGGATGGGTGGGGGTGCTGCCAGCCTCCCTGAAGCGGACAGGCGGCCCTGTGCCCTGAGGCCGTGGGCTGAGGGTCGGTAGGCGGAGCCTGCAGAAGCTAACATCCAGGCTTCCTCTTTTGTTCTCTGTTTAAGAAAACAGTATTTCCCAAACAAAACCACCCAGTGCACAAAAATTGTAATTTGGGAGATAATTCTTACCAAAAATGATTTCCATCAAAAAGTCTTAACCTTTAAAAACTGCCTTAATGGAGTCATTGACACTTTTCTTGATGTGTGGAGGAAATAACTGATTTTATTTGTGATCTAATGGTTTGTGAAAAGTGTGACTCCCAGGATTTTTTCTGGGCATGTGTGACAGACTTGACCTCAAGTCCTTTGAATAGTTCTGATTCTGAGGTCATTGAGAAGAAAGGAAGGAGCACGTGATTCATGTGTGGTACTTCCTGTCAGCATTGTCAGAAGTGGGCTCTAGTTACAGGACAGAATTATCAGTGGTGTAGAAGACTTAGAAGAGAGCAAAAGAGAAAAATAAATCCAGGGCTTGCCCTCCTCTCTGAGAGGTCAGACAGACAGATACTATATGTACCCTTTGAACTTTAGAATACATTAGCAATTTAAAAAGTCATTATTAATACAAAGGAATCAAGTGACTAATTTTCCCCCTCCCCTGAAATTGCTCAGCAGGTCAGGTTGGATCACAATGCAAAACTCTGTAACGCGGACTTCCAAGGGGCTCACTCTGAGAACGGACCGGTGTTGGCCGAGGAACTCGGAAGGAAGTACGTGCTGCTGCTCCAGCTGCGGTGTAGCTGCGTCTGCCTTTCGGCCTGCGTCGTAGTCGTGAGCGCTTCTAGCGGGCGTGTTTATTTGCAGATTCATTTAAAGGTTTTGCTTATGTGTAGATAATACTTGTCTAGATCCTCGGAAAAAGTAGAATTCAAAGACAGCGTTTCGTGGGTTGACATTTTAAGTAAAATTATTTTTTTTTGTCACTCTTGAAACGTGCTAATCTTCCAGAGGTAGTTTGGGTTGCTGGTGGCGTGATGTGAAGTGGGCCGTGGTTAACCCTCTGGCCCAGCTCCCGCGCGTGCAGGGCTCTCAGTAGACGTTCGCCAGTGGGAGAGTGAGACGTTGAGAATGCGTTGCTCTTACACAGTGCTATTCAGACCGACTTGTCTCCGTTGTCGTTGCCTCTGTTGGAGAAGAGGTCGTAAGTCCGACCCACACTCTGCTCTGGAGACTTTCAGACCTGCCAGTGTGAGGAGAGGATTGCAGTGGGCCCAGGGTAGCCCCCTCCCCACGTCTGCACTTGCTTCTGGCCTGTCCTCCTCGCCTCACTGGGAAGGCGGGCCTGGGAGGCCGAGGCTCGCAGCACACCAGCACGTAGCGCCTCTCCCGTCGGTGCCGCTGGGAGCGCCTCCCTCCCGCACGGCCGGCCGGCTTCATGGGCACGGGCGGCAGTCGCTTCCTTTAGCTGATCTTTTGCTTCGAGCATATCACAAGTAAAGGCCTTTAGTTTGTTTTTTTAGATCAGAAAATAAGCTGTTGACTTATGCTTTCTTACTTGATGTAGAATTGCATCTGAATTGCTAAATTTTTCTGCTCTTGTTTTAAATATTTAAATATACTAACTAAAACTGGAGATTTTTAAATACAAGTGGAAAATAAAATACTTAAGCACAATGCTTGAATTGATGCTCTTAAGAGTATTGCAAGTCTCTCTCTTCCTTTTGAAGACATTCACCGAAGAACCTCAAACCACCTCTCTCTGAAAGCTGGAACACAGTGTCAGGGAAGAAGATGAAAAAACCTACTTCTGGACAAAATTT